CTCCGGGTAGTTGCCAGTCCACTGGCTGGAAGATGGAATTCGGAGGAGGCCTAATCGATGCGATCGTATCGGTCTAGTGGAGGTAATTCTACTCTTGACAATGATGGAAAGCATGCATTGTAGGCAAAGTTACAAGCTAAATGATCCTTTCTAATTCATCTTGAGTATGTAAATTATCTTGCTAATATCTGGAGCAGACCTTATTGAATAGTTTATTATTTTCTGATCGCAGCTGGGAGAGGAGAGAACTGCAGCCGAGAGAAGAATGGAGCCTCAGAAGTATCAGAAGCTTCCCAGTTATTATGTAAATTCTTTTGTTTGTTTCTTTTCAACCACTTCTATAAAAATGTGTTTCCTAAATATCATGTCACTGTTTTGCAAATAATTTTCTAAGATCCAAAGACTAAAATACAGTTTCCCCCCCTGTTTACTCTGCATTTCCAGAACCATAACATTTATTTTCCCAGAGGAAAATTGATGCGGCTACTGTGTTCAGTACCTCTCCAGCTCCTTAAAATAATGGATATTTATTTATACAAAATATTGCATAGATTGCTACTGGAAAATGAAAGACAATGCCAGAGACAGCCTCTCTGTCCTCTTTAGGAGCAATAACTCTGTAGCCGATATTTTCCATTTGTTGGCTGTACAAATGAAAGCATGGAGAGATTTTCCATGCTTTTGTTGCAAAAATAATGGCCTTTTTACCTGCTAACAGCAATAGGACTTTTAACATCAAACTGCAATAAGCTTATGAGAGTACTATTTAATAGTTAGTAGGTTTCTGGATTACTGCAATGCGCTCTACATGGGGCTACCCTTGAAAAGCGTTCGGAGACTGCAACTGCGCGAGCGATATTGGGTGTACCTAGGTACACCCATGTTACACCTATCTTCCGCGAGCTACACTGGCTACCCATTGGTCTCCGGACGCGCTTCAAGGTGTTGGTCATTACCTTTAAAGCCCTACATAGCTTAGGACCAGCATACCTGCGAGACCGACTGCTGCCACACTCCTCCCAACAACCGGTAAGATCCCACAGGGTCGGCCTCCTTCGGATGCCGTCAGCCAGACAATGTCAGAGGAGAGCCTTCTCTGTGGCTGCCCCGACTCTTTGGAACGAGCTACCCCCAGAAATCCGGACCTCACCCACTCTCATGGCCTTC